GTAATTATTCACTAATTGCTCATAAACAATTTTAAAAAATGGGTTTTTATAAATGGCAATTGTTAACGAAAAAACAAAAGACCCGCGGCAAAAAAAACTTAAACAATCAATGGGAATTTTAGGTTGACCTAAAATTCCGTGGGCTATAAAACTGCATACTCAAAAATTTTCAAAACAAGAGTAAAAAGTTCTTAATATTGTATGTATATAGCTTGAATGCTTGATTTTTATTGGCTTGGTTAAAGCGTAATTAATATTCTTATACAAATAAAAAATAGCAAAGAAAATGTATACTTGAGAAACATTAGGGGTATTCTCTGAGTCTTGCAAAGCCCTTGCACGGTGCACGGTTTGCAAAGTTGTCTCATACGAAAACCGGTTTTAACCGTGCAATCCGTGCAATCTGTGCACCATGCAAGGGCTTTGCAAGATTCAGAGAATACCCCTATTGACGGTGTTCACACTTGCTTCGTAATCAGGTTATCTGGTTAATTATTTTTGTGTAGTGTATTTTATTGTTGTAAACTGAATTAAAAATATAACCACATAACCTGATAACCAGGCAAGCGTGAACAACCGTGTGATGAATATAAAAAAATTTGCTAAGCATTTTTTGAGTCACTGTATTTGTCGATAATAACTCCATTTCAAGTTTTTTAAATTATGATGAAGTTTTGTTGTTGCCTTTAGATTGATTGATTGAAGATGACATCAATATGATCAAAAAATACCATATCATTAGTTAAAAAAAAAAGTTCCTCAATAAAAAAATTGTATTCTCATTGAAATAACTAAAAAATAGAGCGATAGCAAAGAACGTAGATAATAAGAAGGGACAACTCTTTATAATTGCAGCGAGTGTGAGTAAAGGGCGTGCCTTTTCTTTTGCCCTAGTACGTCTTTTGATGAAAATAACTAAAAATAGTAAATGGAAGATATTTTCTGGATTTGGTAGATTTTTTTTAAGTGGATGGACAATCCTTTTTCGACAGTGGCAACGCGGGCTGAAATGCCGATTCAGCAAAGGAAAAATGGCGCAAAGATGCATGCAAGGTGTATTAAATAAGGTGTTATTGACAATTCAGTGGGGCTATCTTTTAAGGTACTATTGTAAAAAAAAAAAATATAAACAAACGATTCAAAATTCATAATTTTTTTTCAATTTGACTTCATAGGATGGTTCTTTTGAAAGCAATGTCAAATTCAATCACACTTTGCTGAATGTTAATCTGATAAACGATTAAAATGTTAATCGCGATTAACGATTGAAATTAATTAATCGTAATCATCGGTATGATTAATGATTAAAATTAATTAATCTTAGTCATCTGTGATTAATGATTAAATTTTTTTAATCGATCGTCGGTGGTGATTACGATTAATTAATTTTAATCATCAATCGTTAATCCGATTAAAAAAAATCTGATTAAGTGGTCTAGTAGGTCCGCATTTTAAATCAAACACCATTTACGGTTATTCTTTTGTGTTTGACGCTTATAAAAAACTCATAATACTTATTTAAACTATTAATAAATATAATTTGTATAACTTAAACTGAGAAGCTTAACAACCCATCGCACATGTGCAGAGAGATATTAAAACCTAGTTTGCATAACGTATGTTGATAATAGATGACAATCAAAATGCACACCAAATTGCTTAGATTGATGAGGGAAACCGACTTAGCCATACCCGATTAACTGATCTTGTGAGCAAAAGACAATTCCAGCATAAATTAATAAATCACCAGACCCACTTAATCAAATTAAGGGTTAATGATTAAAAATTAATTTTTTTAATCACGGATATTAACAACCAAATCTAAGAACCAAAAATGGTTCAGTATTGGACCTAACCTGCACAAATATTGCATCAGCATTAAATTGGGAAGTGATACCATGTCATCTTGGTGATAACCATCACTACTCAATTTTCATTAATTTTGATGTTACTGAAAAATGTGTACTTTCAGGTCGAAAAAAAAAAATTGATGGCTTCCTTAAATAAAATTGAATTGGAGCCTTCGTCGGAGACGATAACTAAGGCTATCCCACATAAGATAAATAAAGCAACAAACACTCATGGCAATAGAACACCAAAACCATGGTGGCATAGTGATCTTAATACACATTTTAGATTATACAAAGAAGCGAGAAAAAAATGTAATGGGTATGGAAATGGAACAATTGAGAATTTCGAAAGAGCGATTGAAACGAGGCAAATATGGAAAAGCGAGGTTAAGAAGGCCAAGCAATATTTCAAGGAAAATGGCAAGCGCTTCAGCAATCAACCTAACAGTAAGGAGGAGGAACATCAAGTAACGCCAACAACCCCTGATGGTCAGAAGACAACACTAACCTCTTCTTCAGCATCTGAAAAATCGAATTAATTTTAACAATACTCAGGATTGCATTCCGAGGATGCACTTTCAGGTAGCTACTACAATTCTCCTTTTTAATCTTGGCAAATCTAAAAAACAAAACGGAAAAAATCTGCAGGTGATCAAGAAAAAATTACTTAATAATTTGGACATTGTCGATGGATTTCAAACAAAATCTTCTTACTCAAGCCATAAACGTTCCGACCGTTGGTTTAACTCTATTCGTAATCAAGTGGGACGTTCTTCCCACAAACTGTTACAATTTTGCGTGCATTTTCATTGTTCAATCTCATTTTTATATTATAAGCTTTTATTTAACTTGGTCAGCCCGCGGAAATCGCGGAAATTTCCAATCGATTTTAAACTGACTTCCCGACAAGTTAGAGACTTGAAATTTTCAGCATAGTTCCAATCACGATGACAGTGCAATTAAAAATATAAATGGATTACCCATATGGTCCAGGGGTCTTGATTCAAAGGCAGTCAAAAAATAGTAAGATTTATGGCGAACAGAACGTATTTTGCCAAAGAACGTAAAACCACTATAAAATTGTTAAAGCTGCCGGCGCGCCGCGGCGGTAGTGTAGCAAAGCTATTTGTGGCAAATTCTAGATATCAACCTAGTCTAGATATGAACCTCGTTGTAGGCATCATTTCAAGGAGATACAATGAGATGACTCCAGATTTCGCCCCGCCAGAAGAAGTTTAATATTGCGTCTAAATATATCCACCATTTATATACGCTACAGGGAAAATGGACGAAACGCCATTTCTTTAAATGAAATTAACTGCTGCTATATGTACATATGTATGTTTATATAAAACGTAAGCAAACAACCTTTTGCTTGCATAGTCTTCTTTTCTCTTTCATTGCAAGTTGAATTATTTTTATATCTATTGCAAAATTTTGTACATAAAATAAAATAAAACTTCTTTATATACAACGCGTTTATGAATGGACTAAAAATTAATTTACTTCGTTTTTAAAAAAGCTTGTCGGCGAATTCAGCGTACAAGCATAATTGGTTAGGTATGTATATGTATGCATGCAGATATTTAAATGCCGGTTTGCTATTCGCGCGACAAGCTTTTTTAAACACGAAGTAAATTAGTACAAATTGTTAGTAATTTTCATTAGAGTTTGAATAAATCCTTTCACTAAATGGCTTTTAGTAACTTTAACGAGACCTTAATTTATTTTATTTTATTCATTTTAGTGCAGTTTTGACAAAATTTTCTTGCTAAAGAATCTTTTGTTACACTACTTTATTTTATTCCTTTGATTATACATGATAAATAAAAGCTTGTTTTTAAAAAAATATTTTTTTTACATTATTTTATTACAATTTCGTAGTTTCGGCATGTATATATAAAATCCTACAAGAAAAAAACCGCATTTCGGCTGAGTTATCCATTGGTGAACAAATAAAATTCACACGCAATGTTTTTTGCTATGTGGTTACCACGAAAATAAACACATAATCGAATCACGTTGAACAACATGCCCATTTTTTTAAAAGAATTTTGATATACAAATCTAACTTAAACTATATACCGCTAGCTTCGAGTGCAAAGTTGCTAAGTCCATTTTTTTTTTTTATTTTACAGGAGGAAAACACTTCCTATAGCCATTTTATTCAAGTATTTCGCAAATCTTTGAGTAAGAAGGATTCGATCTTTATTAAAAGATTTGGTATTGTTTTGGTTTTATCGGATTTTCGGTGCCTCTTTCGGACTTAGCAAATTTGCATTTCATTGAATATAAACGAGAAAAAATAAAACAAGTTCCTTGATCCTTTTCGATGCATTTTTAATGTTCTTGCTTCCTATATCAAGATATGCGTTTTCATAAAAAATGGACTTAGCAACTTTTCACTCTAAGCTAACGATATATATATTTAAAATCCATTGATTCGTTTTTTTATCATTCCAGTCAACCACAGAGGAGGCCAACCGTTAAATTTGCTTCATTTCTATTTTTTGTTTTTACTTGAATTGGCAAGCCACTTTGCCAACGTCGTTTAATATACGGGCTTGTTCCATAAGAGCAAGAAGTCTAACTACACATGAAATCAATCACAACAATCACCGTCTTGTGAGGCGCTCGCTAAATCATTATAATTTATATATATTTTATAAAAGGAAACCATTCGCACTTAGGGAGAACAATACCACATAACGTGGTATCACCAGTCTACTCCTTGTTCCCGTCTTTTTAATATCTTACGAAATATGCCCTAAAAGAATACAAACATATGGGCTTTCGTTAGAAAATACAAGTAAGAAACTACTACGAAATACAACCGTAAACAATATAATACTTTTTTGAATATATTGGCGTCTGAAGACCTATTTGTTCGGCCACTATCAACTATACAACAAAAAATAAGAAAAAATTAAATAAAATAAATAACAATCACTGGTCCATGTGCCATCAAGGATATGGAGATCGAAATTGAAGAAACAACAAAAAAATCGATAGTAGTTTTTTCAGAAAATGATGAGAAACCACAACAGCCGTCTGCTAAATTAACATCCTCTGTTAATGCCGCTTCAAGTAAACGTATAGATGATGATATACCCATTATATCAATATCGGATGGAGAAGATGCAGTGTACAAATGATTAGCTGTAAGCGTAATAGTGTAGATGCAGCCGAAGCTGAGAATGATCATCAACACCTTATCTTGAAAAGGCCCAAAATTAAAGAAGCCGGTGCGCCAAAGACACATTTTTCGAGTATAAAATTAAGATGATTGACACTTACATACATATAAGCATGCTTATTTAACAGTATTTTTCATTCGCTAGGTTACATGAATGATAGACAAGAGTTGCTACATCAAGAACTGCCCACCAAAATAGCGATTGAGCATACAAAAAGTATCGGTGAGGAATGGCAAAAGATGATAGAAAACAAAAAAGCAGCCGATCGGGATAAGCAACGGTGAGTAGCTAAATAACCAAAGGAGACATACTGAGTGTGGATATGTAAGAGAAGAGCCCCAATTGAGCGCCAGTTAGTCCCGATCACTCCCACTTTCCACCTTACTCCCCATCAACTTCATGATTAATGCACAGCGAAGGCCCACTTTGTATAAATGACTTTGTGTTTTACAAAAAGCAATAAAGTAAAATTGTTCATAGTCGTTAGCGAGTTGATGCTAACACACATGCCTAGTATGCCATCAGGTAGTCCCAATTGTTATTACATTTTCCACCACCCTTCTCAATGGCGGAGCATACAAATTGAAATGGCTAGTGCACATGCTTTTTTTTCATATAATGCAAATCTTTATAACACTATATAATTATCTATTCTAGAATTATTGAGCAGTCTGAACTAACAGCCGGTAAGGGTGAATTAAATGTTTGGACTTATATCGCAAGTACTAAGCTTATCGTTTTGCAGTAAATACATTCGATGAAAGAATTAAATCACTAGAAGCGAACCAGAAGATAATTTTAGAGAACCAACAAACCATATTGCACAACATCGTAAAACTTCAAGGTAAAATGCGTTGGATTTATTTCTCTTCATACAGTTATATGTATTAACGCCGTTTTTTTTAGAAAATAATTTAAATGGACTTAGCCAAATTGCAGCTGTCTTGGAAAAACTGCTAAACAAAAACAGTATGGTAAAGGTAGATGCAGTTTTCCCAATTAAGTCATGGGAGGAATTGAAAGACATAGACGAATTGTGCCGCAACGATTCCACTCGTTATGTAAGAATGAAAAGAAGTATACACTATTGAGCGCATAACTTAGATGTTATTTCAGATCCAATGCATTAAAGCGATAGTTTCTCCAGAGGGTATAGAAAAAAACTTTCATCGTCTTGTGGACAGAAAATTAATCCAACTTTTAAATTATGACGGCGTAAGTAACAAAGCCCCTTTCAAGGACTTTACTTTCCTGAATAGCGCCATATTTGGTAATACTTGTGTCATATGATGTAAACATTTTAATTATTTGCGAGTCTCTTTTAACAGAAGCAATCAAAAGCGAAGGCTACACTAACAAGGAATACGTCCGAGATATTAGGAATAGTTTTAAGTTATATAAAAACCTATTTTATAAAAAGCGTTACGAGGAAAGAAAGAAGAATAGAAATCCACAGTAGCATTATTTCACTTTACCTTTAGTTATTTTATAAACTCGCATGTTTCAAAAATACGGACTTAGGCAGGTTTGATAAGCATACATATATCGACTCATCTGTTACAATCTGTAATGGCAGAGCACAATATGATTGGTTGGAATGGATTAAAACAATTTTGATTTACAATTACGGCAGAACTTACCTTTGAATAAATCGTTAATGTAGTACATGTGTATAACTACATACAACATAATTATTATCTTTTTCGTTTGAAACAATTTTAGTTTTAAATTTTGTTTGTGAAACAAATTTATATTTAAATTTAAAAGAATTCTGAATTACATTTTAAGTTTTATATATAATATGCTACTTGTTAATTACTTATTGCAAAATGAGAAAATATAGTAATATAAAACTAGACTAAAATATGAACAACTGAATTGGGGCAAATGTAGAATGAATTTGGTATGGGGCAGTCATGAACATATGGGCATATGCAATGGGCAGATATAAAATCAGGGCTGCTGATTTTTTGACCATGGAGTAGGAAAAGATCTAGTAGGCGCAAAAGTTATTGGCCAAAATGTTTCAAAGTATTTAAATACCATATAAACTTCTTATTTTAGGTTTGTTCATCAAAAATGCAAAAAGAATTATTCACCACTCAAAATATCAGCAGGAAAAAATCTCGCTCAAGTAGAGAAACTGCCTGGTAGAGAACAAGCTGTTGTTCACGGTTGCATTTCAAACTTAATACATTTTCATGGATTTTTTTAAATTCTTTCAGAAGGACAAAAAACCTGATCTGCATGCATGTATATTTCTTGTTACTGTCACTTTCGTTAACATACGTTTCAATTTCTTAGTCGTACTGTCAGGTTTCCTAAATCTACTGGTTGCGATTGCATTCCGATTACGAATACAGTTTTCTTTTCAGCCGAGTACATTTCAATACATTGGAGTCATACAAAAATTGAAATACTTGTCCTGTATGGGAATTACTAAATTAAGTAACAAGTATTTACTTATATTTTTCATTAGAAAATCGCTCAAGTTTATAAATTTTTAAATTAAACGAACTTATTCAAATTATCGTCGACAAAAATGCAACCATGTACCACATCACATGTTTTTCGTGCTTGCAAATTCTTGCTAGCAAACATGTTTTCAATAAGAATATGCAACTTCTCTCCAAAGGAACTGTCACTTTGCGCCAAAAGAATTAATTAGGCAGGTTCTGGAATTCACTTCCGACCAACCAAAGTCACTTGAAATTCAAACAGAATGCGGTTGAAATTCCCTTGGAATTGAATAAATAAAATGCTAAATTTTTGTGGAAGTATTAGTGAATTTCAGGGCATTTAAAGTTTCTGAGGCGTTGTTTACTTTTAGTTGGGAACTGTCAAAATGGGCAACGGTGCGTCTGGCGACGCTACCTTTGTTCGCTACATCGTCCAGCTGAAGCAATTTTTAACAACTCTGCTTCATTTCATTTAAAAACGCCCTGTCAAACATTTTGACAGCGGTGTACGCCCAACTGAACATACCCAAAGCAGCGGCTTTTTCATATGTTGAGCAAAATTTGTGCAAGAATGTTCGTTACCTATGTGGTTCGGAATTAGCAGTCATACAGTTGTTAAATAAAAGTTAAATTGTGCAACAAAAAAAGCATAGATAAAGTAGAAAACGTCATTGATAGTGCGGATTCTTTAAACTTAATTACATGCATAAAGAAGGCATGGAAATTGTTGAATCGGCAGCAGAGGGTAGCAAAAAACAGATGAACGAAGTGTTAACAGTAGCAGCGTCGTCGGCGGAGGACATTGGCAATAGCAACGTGACTGGTAGTAGCGCTGCTAACAGTTCTGCAGCTGCTGCTTCAACAACGGATAAAAAAAAAGAAAATACGTCAAAAACTGCAACCATTGGATCAACTGACGTCAAAGATATGGATATCGAGATTGAAGAAATTCAACCAAAGTCTTCAGCACCGGCAAGTTTTTCAAAAGTTGATGAGAAAACACAACAGCCGTCTGCTAAATTAACATCCTCTGTTACTGTCGCTTCATGTAAACGCATAGATCATGATATGCCCATTATATCAATATCGGATGGAGAAGATGCAGTGGGTCAGCATACACCAACAACTGCGCAAAAAGTTAGCCGTAAACGTAATAGTGTAGGTGCAGCTAAAGCTGAGGATGAGCAATTTCTTTTGAAACGGCGTAAAATTAAAGTGGCCGGTGCGCCAAAAATGCCCTTAACAGGTATGTGATCAAATTCATATATAACAGGGTGTTGTTGTGTTGTAATTAAATCTTGCAGCTTAGGTACTATACTTACGAGAAAAGTTTGGCTTAGCAATCAAATAGCAAATAATAGTACATAGATATAGTATATGCATGTACCTACATATATTTGGTAGACATCATAATTGTGTTTGCATTTATCAATACTACTAATTGCATTTGATAACACATATGACTATGAAATTACATATATATTAGCATGTTATTTAACAGTATTTCTCTTTCGCTAGGTTATGTTCGTTATATGAATGATCGCCGAGAGTCGCTACGCAAGGAACTGCCCCTAAAAACGGCGATTGAGCATACAAAAATCATCGGTGAGGAATGGCAAAAGATGACAGAGGACAAAAAAGCACCCTATATGAAGGCAGCTGAGCTGGATAAGCAACGGTGAGTAGTTATGAAACAAGGGGAGATGCATGCTGGGGGGGTATGTAAGAGAATATCAGCTTATATGACATCTACATACGTATCTGTGGAACAGCTTAAGTCTATCTTGCACGGACCAATCAAATAGCATGTTTTATCGCCAAGCAATTTTGCAACCCGAAAAAAATTTTAAACTATTTTATGGCTATTCGCAACGGTTTAAAATGTCTCTATTTTCAATAATTGAATGTTTTCATTTAAATAAAATGTATTCCTTTGACTTTAAAATAGCATTGCTGACATTTGCTATTTTGTTTTTCAGCGAAAAATAGACTTAAATTTTTCTTCCAAATGCCCACAGAAGTGTTGCATACATATACAAAAAATTAAGAGCAAAGTCAGCAATGCTAGAGGTACGTTGACCATAATTATGTAGGCCGAATACGGGACAAAAATAATTTTTTAATATTTTCCACAGAAGTTAACAGATCTTAAAATCTTCTTCAATGACCCTATATGTATTAGACCTGAAACAGCATCCTTAATGTAACATCTCAAATTTATATGATATTTTTTCTCGAGATTTTACCCCACAAAATTAGTTACGAAAAATTCCCTAAATTTTATTACAATAAAGTGCAAGTTTGAAGTAGCTAAGACTTACCGTTAATTTTTTTGGAATTTCCTGTTGACTGTGGGACGCATTTTTTCGTACAAAGTATGTTCGACAATATTTGTAAAATGAAAATAAGTGAGCAGCCCCTGCACTTGCAAACTTTATTATATTCAGTTTTAATGAACTGAAAAACTTAATTTTTTTTCTAAAGATTCTGATTAAAAAGTTTTTTTTATAGTTTTTTGCACAAAATCGGAAATATGGTTTTTGTTAGGAAAAGAGCTTTACTTTCATAAAATAAACAAAAGAAAAATAGCAAAGCGTTGCTAAAATGTCGAGCCTTAATTTATATTTTGGTCACTGTATATATTCCTCGATTCGAATTACAGGCATTCCTATTAGAAAATAATAACTTTTTAACTTTAACNATATTCCTCGATTCGAATTACAGGCATTCCTATTAGAAAATAATAACTTTATGGAGAAGAGCACGACCATATACCAACATCACATAAAATTGGTGAGCTGTTAAGGCATCGAAATACCGCACACCGAATACGGGTCAGATACGGAACATTAAAAGGAACACAGATCATTTGGCGTCCCGTATAAAACAAATAAATTAGCAGGACAATTGGTCATAAAAGAGGACTGTCCCCCATAATATAGGACGGATGGTCACCGTAGCTATAGGCAAAATAATGTTGCTTGTCAACTTTATTTCTATTTTCGTTTGCAAAAAGTGACGTTGAATAATATGATTGTTGCTATGTGTGTATAAATGCTTACATGGCGGTATCTATCCGAACATGCAGAGGAAGAGCAAGGTTTAAGAATTCGCATAAATTATGTACCTACCAATAAATACAACCTTTGAAGATGTCCATGCAATTGCTGACACATGTATCTATACATATACAAATTTAACATAAACTGGTTTATTGGCCAGTATATACCAACAAAAGTTTCTTAATAACGCCTAGTTTAACAGGCTAACCGAGTTTGTCCAACTACAGACAGTTTTTAAGTATTGAATTTCTTAATATAACATTTTGGTTAACATGTGCTTATTTCATGCCTATGATTACTTTTTAATTACTTACTTATTCCTTGTCATATTCAAAGCACTAGCCAGAAAACTATACATAGAACAATAATGGAGTGGGCAATCGGTCTGCTTTCTGCACACTTCCGCTTCCAGTAAGCATGCGACCGGTTGTCAGTAACATGGGCTTTGATCGCTACAAAACCACGGGAGTAGATGGTACACCCCTAGTAAATCAGTTATGTACAGCAAGTCCATATCTTATGTTCGTAAGGAGTGGAGCAGAGCGCGTAAAATTTTCATTCCGGAAAATCGGAAGTAGAGATTACGCCCTTGTTCCCACGGCAGTCGGTTCTACATAACCGGAACGACGCAGATTCATATGTACATATCTACGGCCCAGACGAGAGGGTTCACTTAGATGCAATCGTCTAGGTGCCCATCGCATTCATTAAAGTTATGAATTGTAAAGTTTTACTATATTTTGAGTTTTATTCCTAAAACGCCGTAATAATAAAGGGAAACAACTCTGACTTCAGTATCATTCCCCAAGATCTCTTTGTGAAATTTGTATGCTGTTAAAAACAACAACTCCGTTGCGAAATCATTCAGAGCGATCCTTATCGTCTCTTGACCACGTGAGAATATTTATGATTCCTTATATGTTGACCTTGACCTACTAGATGCCTTAAGCGAGTTAAGTATAAGCACAATTTTTTCCTAAAAGTTTGTTTAGAGATTTAAGAAACATTGCTACAACAAGGCCAAACACAAACCTTCACTTTGACACTTATTTCGATATTTTTGCAAAATCTGCAACAAATGCAATACTTTCAAAGAAAGCCCTTTTTTCGTTCTCCTGTAAAATTTGAGTGCCGTAAGATAGGCGGTTTTGCTAAAACATCGACGATATAATTAATACACGTATGCATAACTATTTAATCGATGTACTGGTCTTACTTTCAGCTATCTCGATGAATTGCACACATTCCTTAAAGAACGTCCTGATGTGTTGGCCTGTGAGCTGGCGAAGAGTAAGCAGCAAAAGAACAAAGGTCCTGGGGAAGCTGGAAAACCCGTATTGAAGGAGAAATCGCAATCATCTGGCAATATCAAATCACCGAATAAAGAGCCGCACGTCAGCACAAACGCCGCCAGCAAGGATAAATCGCGCCGCAATTCCGAAAAGGATAACTCGCCACCGCCGGCTGCAACAGCAACAGCAACAGACAACAAACATCGACGTAAGCGTACACCAACACCTCCTCGCGCACAAAGTAGCAATAACAACAGAAACGCCATCGCTTACACAAGCACCCCAAACAATGCCACTTCTGGCAACAATCACAACAGCAAACCAACAACAGAAACAAATGATAATGCCGCATCAACTCTCTTATCCGCCACAGTCGTACCTGGCGAAATACCAAT